AGTTAACAGGCCTACAGTTACCTGTTTTTTCTCTCCTTCCCTTTTGGAATAAGGGTATTAAATTGGCAGATTCCCCAAATCTCTGGGACTTTTTCTGTAATCTAAAGACTCAGTTCTGATGGGCAGAAACAGATTTAAGGCTCTCTGCCACCATTTGTTATCTCCCACTGGTCCACTCTTCTCTTTATGAAACTGCTGTGCCTGCCATTCTCTTGTCTTGTTTCAGAACTGGCTATGGACACCGTCAATTTTGATGAAGCAAGGAATGCTTTAAGAAGGAAATAAGTGTAACCTCACCCTAATCCTGTGAAGTAGCCTGTTCAACGTAAATTACAGTAGGTGCCCAATTATCTGTTTGGGATTAGTGTATCCATTCTTATTATATGGACTTCCATTCATCATAGTTTGAACATTGAACTACTGACAGAAATACTACGAAAGGGCATGGTGGGGCAGGTTGGGGAGTAGCTGGTTAGAGCAGTTAAAGTGTTTTTTAATGACATCACAGAATCAGATACAGAAGAGGCTAAAATATACCACTATCTACACTAGTCCCACATTCCTGCACTAGACCATCAGTCTCAAATATTATGACACTTTCAAGTGCTTGTACTTTTTAACGGTTCTAGGGTTCCTTGCCTCACCTACTCTCCCAGGCAGTGCATTCCAGAACCTCACCACCCTCTGGGTGAGGGACCTTTATCCTCACATCCCCTCTAAACCTCCTGCCTTTCAGTTTACAATCATATACATCTATCAGATCTGCCCAAACACCCCCACCCCCCATCTTCTCTCCTCCAAAAGAACACAAGCCGAGTTATCCAGCCTCTCTTTATAGCGGAATGCTCCATCCCAGGCAATATCCTGGTGAATCTCCTTTGCACCCTCTCCAGGGCAATCACATCCTTCCTGCAGTGTGGTGTCCAGAACTGCACACAATACTCCAGTTATGGCCTAATCAAAGCTCTGTACAGCTCCAACATGACTACCTTGCTCTTACATTTATGAGAAAACTGATAAAAGGCATCTAATATGCTTTCTTAATTCCCCTATTAACCTGTCTGCCACATTCAGGAGTCTGTGATCAAGCACCCCAAGAGCTCTCTCTTCCTCTGTGCTTCCTAGTGTCTTGCTACTCATTGACTAGTCCCTCACCTTACACCTTCTTCCAGAGTGCCTCACATTTATCATGGTTAAATTCTATCTATATAATTTTTGAATATCACAAACATAAAAAAGGACCCAGTACTGGGTGCCTGTGGTGTGCCACTGCACACTGGGCTCCGGTCATACAAACTACCACCACCGTCTCCTGTTACTAAGCCAATTTTGGATCGAACTTGCCAAGTTACCATGGATCATGTGTTTTTACTTTCTTTTCCAGTTTCTCACGTGGGACCTTGTCAAAGGCTGTGCTGAAATCCATATAAACTACTTCAACTGCCCTACCCTCATCCGTACACTTAGTTACTCCTCAAAACTCCAATCAGATTTGTTAGGTATGACAAAGCAGCCCACTGACAAAGTCATGCTGAATATCCTGATCAAACCTTGCCTTTCTAAATGGAGATCAGCTTTCTCCATCATTATTTCCTCCAACGTTCCCCCACCAGATTTTAGACTCACTGATCTATAATTCCTTGGTTTCTCTCTACCACCCTTCTTGAAAAATGGAACCACATTAGCTGTTCTGCAGTTCACTAGCACATCTCGTGTTCAGAGATGATTTGAAAATTTGGGTCAAGGCCCTAGTAATTTCCTCTCTCATCCTCCACAGCAGTCTGCGATACAACTCATCTGGACCTGGAGATCTATCCACATTTAAATTCCCCCAAAGCCTTCAATACCTCTTCAATTCTTATCAATCTGCTCAATTTTGTCCTGCTTTCCCCTTCATCCCCCCGATTCTCCAGACCCTCCTCTCACCGAACCCCTCAACAAACCCACAATTCATATCCCTATCTGATTCATCCATTCTCTCCTTTTCCCATAACCCATGTCACACCACCCCCTGCTCCAGTTCAACCCTTTGTTCACCAGGCCACATTGCGCTTGCCACAGTTTGTTGAAGCTGGCCAGCAGCTGTTCAAGTGTGGGAGTATAAGCCTGGATTTGGTCAGCCATGTCAGGTGGCACAGTCCCTACTTATATATCCCCCCATCACGCCACATCAAGGTCATATTTGACCAATGTAGCATCAAACATAACTAGAGCAAATGGAAACTGATGAAAACCTCTCCGCTGCTCGGCTTAATACTTAGCACAAAGGAAGGTGGCTGTAGTTGTTAGAGGCCAGTCGTCTCAACTCGAGTATATCACTGCAGGGGCTCCTCAGGTTAGTATCCCAGGCCCAAACACTCTCAGTTTCTTTACCAAGACCTTCTCACTATCATGAGTCAGAAGTGGAAGTATTCTTTGATGATTATGCAATGTTCAGCACCATTTGTAACTCCTCAGACACTGAAGCAGTCCAAATGCAGCAGGATCTGCAAAATATCCAGAATTGGGCAAGAAACATTCACATAACACAGGTGACAGGTAATAAACATCTTGCCAACAACAGAATATAATCATCATCTTTAACCATCAATAGCATTACCATCAATGAATTATCTTGCCCTCCCTCCAATCAGCATCTTGGGGTTAACATTTAGACTAGACATATAAATATTAGTTCTGTAATTAGAATCCTCCAGCAAATAACTCTCATCCTGACAACTATTTACAAGGCACAAGTCTGGAGCATTTTCCATTCTGCCCTATGCTTTCTCCTGTTCAATCAACAATTGTACACAGCACAGCTCGCATATATAGAAATGTAATTGCAAAACAAACTACATGTTTTATTTGACTAATGAATCACAGTCATAGAGCCTGGAAACAGACCCTTCAATCAAACCAGTCCACACCAACCATGTTCTCAAACTAAACTAATCCCACCTTCGAAACCTATCCTATTCATGAACATCTAAATGTCTTTTAAATGTTGTAACTGTACCTGATTCCATTTTCTCTGGCAGTTCATTCCACACACACCACTGTCTGTGCAAAAATGTTGCCCCTCATGTCCTTTTTAAATCTTTTCCTTCTCACCTTAAAAATATGCCTCCTAGTTTTCAACTCCACCTGAGGGAAAACACCCTTGTCATTCAACTTATCTACGCCATTCATGATTTTATAAACCCCTATAAAGTCAGCCCTCAACCTCCTATACTCCAGTGAAAAACATCCCAGCCTTTCCAGTCTATTTTTATATCTCGACTCCTTCATTCCTGGCAACATCCTGGTAAACTCCTCTCCAGTTTAACAAGATCCTTCCTATAACAGGGTGACCAGAACTGCACACAGTACTCCAGAGGAGGCCTCACCAACATCCTGTACAAACTCAACATGATATCCCAATTTCTATACTCAAAGGTCTGAGTAATACCTTAACCACCCTGTCTACTCGTGATGCACATTTCAAAGATTTATGTACCTGAACCCCTACTTTGATGAATATTTCCACTTGTCTGTTGTTGATACAGAGTGGTGGCTCACTTGTAAAATGTCTCTGATTTTTCCATTCAAAAGTTTTTCTTTTACTGCAGAGAAATAAATAGCTTCTGCTCAGGAGAACAACTGCACAGATATCTCAGAGATAGTAAGAATTGCCGATGCTGGAGTCTGAGATAACACAGTATGGAGCTGGAGGAACACAGTAGGCCAGGCAGCATTAGAGGAGCAGGAAAGCTGACGTTTCAGCTCGGGACCCTCCTTCAGAAGACCTTTTTTCTGAAGAAGGGTCCTGACGCGAAACGTCAGCTTTCCTGCTCCTCTGATATTGCCTGGCCTGTTGTGTTCCTCCAGCTCCACACTGTGTTATTTGTACAGATATCTGTATCTTTATATGTGTGCGTGTGTGTCTATAACTTGTATCCAGTTCCAACTTTCTCAGTTAGCTGAGAACCAGTCAGCTTTTGTTGTACAACTCCTTGGCACCTGATCACTGAACATTGCAGCAACTCACAGCCATAAAAACCAGAGTTCAAAACATGATTCAATTATTTGCTGTGAAATTCTGGGAAATCTGATTTTAAGAACAGTTCTTTCATAGAATCCCTACAGTGTGGAAACAGGCCATTCAGCCAAGTCCAAACCAACCTTTTAAATGCCATCCCACCCAGACTCACCGCACATCCTATACCTGTAACGCCAAATTCCCACGACCAATCCACCTAACCTACACATCACTGGACACAATGGGCAAATTAGCATGGCCAATCCACGTAACATGCACATCTCTGGACTTTCGGAGAAAACCCATGCAGACACGGGAGAATGTGCAAACTCCACATAGACAGTCGCCCAAGGGTGGAATTTAATCTGGGTCCCTGGCACTGTGAGGCAGCAGTGCTAACCACTGAGTCACCGTACCGCCCTTTCTTATTGCTGTCCAAGTTCTTTAGAGCTACAAAAATAAAAAGGCAGATTCCTTACACCGGGTCTGTTGGGTTGAGGGAGACAGAGTGAAATGTTCTGCATCCTGTCACCACAGTAAAACAAACCAACGCGCACACAGACTCTGGAAGTCAGCATACCATCCGAGAGCAACGCCACGGGAGGGCGGCCAATCCACCGATCAGACGACGCCCACAGCCTGAGCGGATTGGCTAATTCCCGGCCGTCTAGAGGGTGTGATTGGCTGAGCCGGTCGTCAATCATTCTGCTGCTGTCGTTGTGGAGGTCGAATTTTTTTTTAAGTGATGTGTGGGGTTAGGGGAGGGGAGGGAAGGGCAGAGGCGGCAAAGTCGTCGTCGCCGAGATCCCCCCACCCACCCCCTTGCTACCTTGGCAGTGGGTCTCCCGCCTGCCTGCTCCTGGCAGCTGAGCTTGAGCCCCGCAAGCACTGGGCCCTTTCCCTCAGGATGAAAACAGGGTCGTTCCCCCACCCCCCCAACAACGAAGGTTTAAATCGACACCACGGCAGTTAAAGTCAACCCTCATACAGCAGCGCTTACCTGCAGAAAACCCCTTATTTCGTTGCTTTTAGTGCCAATTTCTTTCCTTCAGAGGTCAGAGTTCATGACCTTGGCGGTTTTTTTCCCTCTGATGCGCGTATTAGCGATTCAGTCTACGTGGTGGGGGGGTGGGACGGGGAGAGGGAAGCCCGGCCGGGGTGCATGCGCACACCGTCCGCCACAATCACGCCCTCTCATTGGCCGCCAAGGTACGGTCGCCCCACGTGCGGTCGGCGGCGATAATTCGCAGTTTCCCTCGAGTCCGCTCCATTCCCGGCTATTTCCGGAGCGGCGCCCGCCCTCCTTCCTTCGGCTGTTTCCGGAGATCGCTGTCCAACCTCTGTGGTGCTGACCAACCTTGCCCGCGACTCGGTGGCGACATCCCTGTAAAATGTTTCGACTCCCTTCTTAAAATACTGCTGACTTTGCACAGATGGTTTCCCGTTTTCCGAAGGTAAGGGACTGGAAATGACATTGCCGGGAAATTAAAATTTCCGTTTTCTGGGCAAAATACATGATTTTGGATCAGTTTGATTTAATGTCAACATCGGGGAAGCCAGGATGAGGAGGGTGCTGGTGTCGGACTGGAGTACACAAGGTCAGAAATCACACCACACCAGGTTATAGTCCTTCTTCAGGTGTTAGTGAGAGAGGTAGTATCAGACACAGACTTTATAGTAAAAGATCAAAAGCTCACACCATTGATGAGGATGTATTAAACAAACCTAAGATGCTGTTAAATCGTTAATCAGTTAGGAGGTTTTAATTGATTAATACGTATATGTAAATCCCCAAATTCCTTTCAAGTCACTGTCCTGAGAGAACTAAAGATTTTATCAGTGTAAACAAGAGGTGATATTTTAGGTCAGACAATGCATGTAACGTGTGAGGCCTTGTTTAGAATCTGTTTGTGTGTTGGTTTGGAGTCAGACTGGTTTTATTTCTAAAGCAGGAATTTATAAAATGCCACATTGACTGACTGTCTTTTAGTTGTGTGCTTTTTGAACAAAATCGAACGTACCTGCGAACACAAATACACCCCATAGATTCACGTGTGTGTGTGTGTGTGTGTGTGTTTGTGGAGAGAGAGAAAAAGATTATGTGTGTGGAAGAGAGAGAGAGTGTGTGTGTGTGTGTTTGAGAGTCAGTGTGTGCATGAGAGAGGATCTGTCTGAGTGTGCGTGTGCATGTGCGCGTGCGCGTGCACGTGTGTGTGTGAGAGGATCTGTGTGTGTGTTTGTGTAAGTGCATGAGCATGTGTGAGAGTGTATAGTGTGGTGGGGTCACCTGTAGTGCGACATGAATCCAAGATCTCAGGTGAGGGTGTCCCCATGGGGACCAAACTTAGCTATCCGCCTCTGCTCAGCGACTCTGCGTTGTTGTGTATCCCAAAGTCTGCCTTGGAGGATGTTTACCCAAAGATCCGAGGCCAAATGTCCTTGACCACTGAAGTGTTCCCCCACTGGGAGGAAGCATCTGTGTCTGGCAATTGTTGCATGGTGTCCATTCATTTGTTCTTGTGGCATCTGCATGGTTTCTCCAGTATACCATGCCTTGAGGCATCCTTGCCTGCAGCATACGAGATAGACAACATTGGCCGAGTCACATGAGTATCGGCCTTGCACATGGTGGGTGGTGTTCCCACATATGGTGGTTAGTGTCCATGTCTAAGATGTGATATGTCTCTATGGTTTTTGAGTAGATTTGTAGCTCGGGTTATGGATGTTATGGTTGTTTGGCTCATCGAGCTGGTTCATTTTTCTGCAATATGATATATCTTGCAGAGTTTGCCATGACAAGGTTATATGATGTTGTGTTCGATGTTGCCCTGAAGGCTGGATAGTTTGCTGTGAACAATAGTCTGCTTAAGGTTCAGCATTTGTTTGAAGGTGAGAAGTGGAGGCATGGGGAAGATCTTGGTGAGGTGCTCATAGTCAATGATATTGTGTTGATGGTTGTGAAGAACATGGCGTAGTTTCTCCACTCCCGAGAAGTACTGGACAACGAAGGGCACCCTATCGGATTTATCCCGTATCTGTCTTCTGAGGAGGTCATTACGGTTTTTCGCTGTGGCATGTCGGAACTGGCGATCAATGAGTTGAGCATCATATCCCGTTCCTATGAGGGCATCCTTCAACACCTTCAGGTGTCTGTCTTGTTTCTCGTCATCCAAACAGATCCTGTGTACGTGTAGGGCTTGTCAATAGGGGATGGCTGTTTTAATATATTTGGAGTGGAAGCTGGAGAAGTGCAGCATCATGAGGTTATCCGTGGGCTTGCGATAGAGTGAGGTACAAAGGTGTCCATCCTTGATGGAAATGCGTGTGTCCCAGAATGACACTGATTCTAAACAGTAGTCTGTGGTAAGTCTGATGGTGGGATGAAACTGGTTGGTATCACAATGTAGTTGTTTCAGTGATTCCTCACTATGAGTCCAAAGAAAGAAAATGTTGTCAATGCATCTGGTGTATAGTGTTGGTCAGAGGTTCTGTGCAGCAAAGAGGTCTTGTTCAAACCCGTGCATGAAAATGTTGGCATATTGGGGAGCAAATCTGGTCCCCATGGCTGTTCCATGTGTCTGGATGAAGAACTGGTTGTCAAAAATGAAGACGTTATGGTCGAGGATGAAGCAAATGAGGTGTAGGGTGGCATCTGGAAGTTGGCAGTTGTTGGTCTTGCGTACTGAGGCTGTTGTGGTGATGCCGTTTGTGTGGGGGATGCTGGTGTAGAGTGCCAAAATGACTATTGTGACCAGGAATGTTCCTGGTTCAAATGGTCCATGGGTGCTGAGTTTCTGTAAGAAATCTGTAGTGTTGCAACAGAGGCTGGGCATTCCTTGTACAATGGGTTTCAAGATGCCCTCAACATAGCCAGAAAGGTTCTCACACAGGGTCCCATTGCCTGATATGATGGGACGTCCAGGTGTGTAGGCTTTGTGTATCTTTGGAAGGCTTTAGAAGTCCCCTACGTGCGAGTTACGCGGGATGAGAGTGTGTAGGGTACTCTGAAGCACTGGATCAAAAGTCTTGACCAGTCTGTTCAGTTGACAGGTGTGTTCTTTGGTCAGATCGACAGGTAGTTGTCTGTAGTGTTCCTGGTTGATCAGCTGTCGGTACACTTCCTTGTAGTAGTGCATTCTGTTCTGTATGACAATGGATCCTCCTTTGTCTGCTGGTTTGATGACAATGTTGCGATTGGTCTTGAGAGCCTGGATGGCATTGCATTGTGCCTGGGTGATGTTTTGCACTACCTTGTGAGTGTGGCTGATGAAGCTGGCATTCACACATTCTCTGATGCCTTGAGCATACCCATCAAACCCTGGGCAACGACCCTCCGGACGGGTCTAATTCGACTCCTTCTTTGCCCACTCCTCCATGGATATCTCTGTCAATTGATCTGGTTCATTGGTTGTCTCATTGGGGTCACTGCTGACATCTCAGAAGAATTCCTGGAGTCTCATTCATCTGATGAATTCCTCTGTGTCAGCCGCGAGACCATTGGAGTCCATCTTGGTGGTGGGGCAGAAATTCAGTCCTCAGCTGAGAACTTCAATCTCATCTGCTTGAAGTGGGTGGTCAGTTAAGCTGACAATGGTTTTTCCCTGCGGTGGTACCACTTTCAACTGTGGTACCAGGGCAGACTTGGTTATTGCTGGTGGTGATGTCAAGTTTCTCCTGCATCTTGTTCTTGGTGTGTATGTAGCTGGTGTAGTTCCATTGCCTCGTATGTTTGGCAGTGTCTTGTAACTGTGCTGCTGTATCTTGAGCACAAGCTGAGAATATAGATTCAATCTCGATTTCAAGGCCACAGTGCTTGCTGTAGAGTTGGTGTACGAGATGGTTGAGGATTTTGAAAGAGGTGCAACAGCAACGTAATCAGTGTTGTAGGTCGGGATCTTTTGGGCTTTCTTACATTTCTGTAGAAACTTGATGTCTGTGTCGATATGCGCAATCTTCCTGGAGATCCACTCCACTTTGAGCCAGCAGTTGGTGGTGTCAATGGTAGCCATGATGTGGAGGTGCCGGTGTTAGACTGGGGTGGACAAGGTCAGAAATCACATGACAACTGGTTACAGTCCAACAGGTTTATTGGAAAACACAAGCTTTCGAAGCCTTACTCCTTCTTCAGGTGTTAGTGAGAGAGGTAGTATCAGACACAGAATTTATAAGTAAAAGATCAAAGGCTCACAAATTGGTGAGAATGTATTAAACAAACCTAAGATGCTGTTAAATCTTTAATCAGTTAGTAGGTTTTAATTGAAGATACAGGAGCTTGAACGTACACACCAACAGGTTCAAGAACATCTTCTTCCCTGCTGTTATTAGACTTCTGAATGGACCTCTCTAATTTCAAATCATGTTGATCTTGCTTTGTGCACGTCCTGTGCAACCATCACCTTGTATGCCTCCCTCTGTCTAAGCACCCTAAGATCTATACTTCCTTGTTTGCTAGGATCTGCCTGTACTGCTCGCAAAACAAAACTTTTCACTGTACTTAGATACATGTGACAACAATAAATCAAATCAAATCAAATGAATGTGTGGCTAGAGAGCTGGTGTAGGAGGGAGGGCTTCAGATGTTGGCATCATTTCGATCCCTTCCGGCATAGGGGGCACCTGTACAAGGAGAATGGGTTGCACCTAAACTGGAGGGATGCCAATATCTTTGCAGGAGCAGGGAGGTCTGCTAGTGCCACTCCGGAAGAATTGTCAGTGGTAGTGTTTGGGGAAGTTGGGGGTGTGGGGGGGGCGGTGGGGTGGGGGCGAGTGGAGGAGGCGGTGGAAACCAGAGTAGAAGGCAGATGTTAAGTCAAGTAAATCTAATAAGATGATCAAACAGTTCAGGGTTAATGAACATGGCAGGACTGGTGGTCTGAAGTATATTTGTTTTTTATGAAAGGAGTATAACAGGTGAGGTAGGTGAGCTTAGAGCCTGAATTAGTCTATGGAACTACGATGTTGTAGCCATTAGAGAAATTTGGTTGAGAAAAGGGCGGGACTGGCAGCTCATTGTCCCAGGTTTTAAGGTTTCAGGTGTGATAGAGAGGAATGCAAAAGGAGTAGGGGAGTTACATTATTGATTAAGAAGAATGGCACAGCTGCATTA